CCCCCCCTGCACTTCACACTGGGGGACCCACTTCAGCCCCCGCTGCCCAGCAGACCCGGTGGAGATTTGGAAAATTAGGGAGTTGGGGATGCCATGTTTTCTGGGAATTCATGCCTCTTTCCCGTAGGTGGCACATTATAGTTAAAGGCGTAGTTACGGACCAAAATGCAATTCACCAGGACTAAAGGGAGCTGGTATAAATGAAATCCTGAAGTCCCAAGACACAGGGGTATCACAGTCGCTCAAAGCAGACAGCGAACGCAGAACAAAGAAGCAGAAATATAATTCCAGTCTGGAACAGCTCGGGTCCCACGGATCTCGAACCCTGCCAAATAGAGAATGAGACACACTGTTGCTACCCTTTCCCTGTGAGTGTAGAGATTGTAGCACACCATCTATCCTCATATCCTCCGTTACTGGGGGAGAAAGAGAAGTCAACAATTTGAGTGAGGAGGCTCCTTCATTTTTATCACTTTAGTGCTGAAGCCTAAAGATAATTGGGGAACAGTGATCCATTGGTTCATGTCAGCCCCTACCTGTTGAATAAAATGGCACCGAAGTGGATCATGGCACATAAAGAACAGTGTATCTCAATACCAGAGTATGTGATGTGTTTTATCAGCAGCACAATCAGAGGCAGCCCAGCTTTCTTCATGGCAAGATATAACAGCAGTAACAAGCTGGACCACTTCATCTTGCACAGCTGCAGAGCAGTGAAGTCTGGCCGTCTGGTTGCAGGTAGCTCATCGATCTCCGGATCCCATCCTTCGGAGAGCTCGACACAGGGACCCTGAGCCCCTGATCTCAGCCTGGACGAGCAGCTTCTGCTGCTTCACTGTGAGACTGTGACTGTGACTGTGAGACTGTGAGACTGTGACTGTGACTGTGACTGTGAGACTGTGAGACTGTGACTGTGACTGTGACTGTGACTGTGACTGTGAGACTGTGACTGTGACTGTGACTGTGACTGTGAGACTGTGAGACTGTGACTGTGACTGTGACTGTGACTGTGACTGTGACTGTGACTGTGACTATGACTGTGACTGTGACTGTGACTGTGAGACTGTGACTGTGACTGTGACTGTGACTGTGACTGTGACTGTGACTGTGACTATGACTGTGACTGTGACTGTGACTGTGACTGTGAGACTGTGACTGTGACTGTGACTGTGACTATGACTATGACTATGACTGTGACTGTGAGACTGTGACTGTGACTGTGAGACTGTCACTGTGAGACTGTGACTGTGACTGTGAGACTGTGACTGTGAGATTGTGACTGTGTCTGTGAGATTGTGACTGTGACTGTGACTGTGACTGTGGGACTGTGAGATTGTGACTGTGACTGTGACTGTGACTGTGACTGTGACTGTGAGACTGTGACTATGACTGTGAGACTGACTGTGACTGTGAGACTGTGACTATGACTGTGAGAGCACATCCCTCCACTTCAGCTCGTCCAACATTTCTGGCTCCTTCTTCGCTGGGGAGATGAAGGCCGAAGAGACAGGCCTCGTGAGCAGCCTATGTAGTGCCAGGGCCATCAGAGAGGTGGGGATGGAAGGGGCAACAAACAAGAAACCGGGCAGAGAGTAGCAGAAACTACCAGCTGGCATCCCGTGACCCCTATGTGGTCTTTATTAGGAATGATTTCTAATAAAAAAAACATTTTTATTTCAATCTTTTTTAATGAATAGTGTTTACAGGGAACACAACAGCTTAATTACTGTAACTTGCATTGTGATGGTTTTAGCAAGCAGGAAGGAACTTTAAGAATACAAGGTGTGGCGTTTTGTATACTAAAATGTTTTCATGCCACAGTGTAGTTGCCATTAAACCTAAGGAACGGTGCTTAATATGCAAATTTATGCACAACCCGAAATGCAGAAGATAAATATTCCTCCTCTTGTAACAAAGAGGGCCTGCAGGGCTAAAGAGAAGACTTCCATGTGTTTCTTTTGGCTCATCTGTGGAATTCTGCTGGAGAATGATAGTGTTTGAGCAAACCGCGGTAATGACAGAAGGAAGACAACCAGAGGCATCTCAGTACGAGTGATTTGCAAAGTGTTCCTCCCGTTTAATTTCTGCTGCTCTGCTTTGAGGACAGGAGAGGAAACGAACAGACTTCTTCAGCTGTCAGCGATCAGTAATCCTTCGCACTGTGACATTTACAGTGAGTCAAAGACAACTGTCGTCGTTCTCCGTGGCCCCTGTCCAGGTTAAATAAAGCGTAGAGGAAAGTTGCAAAATGCAACACAGATGCTTTCTGCTAATTGCCCAGTCACATCTTGTTTAAATAAAAGCACGATTTTTTGCACGTGTTCGTGCTTCGTCACACACCCTCTCACAGAGGCAGAAGGACCAGCGATGCTAGTGAACGAGCCCTGACTCTGCAAGGGTACAGCCTGCCCCCCCCCCCGCCTCGCAGACAGCA